GATTCAAATAAAATCAGTCAAGACAGCGATCTAACAAACCAGATTCAAATAAGATCAGTCATAGTAAGACAGTGTAAGTAATACAGGGCTTAAGTTTAAGTTAATGAGAAATTAAAGATAGTCACCATAGTATAATCCTGCTATTTTTGGGATAGCTGTCTGTGCCCTCAAATGCAATAAAAGTAGACAGATTGGAATATAATCAAACTAAACAGAGCAATAAGAATAATGTGGATTTGGGGCTGGGGATTTAGCTCAGCGGCATAAGCGCCTGCCTTGCAAGCAAGCAGTCATGAGTTCGATCCCTGGTAAAAAGGAAAAAGACAAAAAAAAAATAATAATGTGGACTTAAAATCCTGATACACTATTAACGATGTCCTCTGCCTTCCTTTTTTAGACAGTTCCTCCCCTTTCCCTTTCACATTTTGGGTCCCACTAACTTCTTTAGTTTTTATATTAGGGGAGCAACCTGCTATCTACCTAAGTGATTCTGAACCTTTTTACCCCTGAGCTTGATCTTGTGTTGTATTCCTTTACCTACTAAAGCCTCAAGGCTTTCCTTCCTTATAGCTCAGTGGTTCTCCACTGCACAAAGCTGTCATGACTTTCCAACCTGTCTGCAGCTGCTGGATGAGCTGTTCCTATTACTCTCTGGTTCTCTGTCTCATAGAGCATTGTTTTCTCATATTTAACTTTTGGTCCATAAACCCTCTTTCAGGTTAATTATATTTCCTATTCAGGCATCTTGATGCACCCTATCTCCTGATCTATTCTGCCTGTGTTTCTTTTTATTAGTATATCAAGGCCGTCTATGTTAGAGATTATAGCCAGTCTTCTCTGCCTCATCTCTGCTATGCTATTTTTCTGCTCTTATTTGTCCACTTTTCTCCTTCATTCCACTGTCTGCCCCATTCACTGAGGCCTCTCTGCCACTGTTCCTGGAATCCTGGTGATTTTTTTTCTCTCTCTAGAATGTCCTTCAATATTTTTAGTAGGGTTGGATTGGTGGACATGAATTCCCCCAGTTCCTCTTTGTCATGGAAGCATCTTGTTTCTCCATTAATTGTGAGAGACATTTTTACAGGGTATACCAATCTGGGTTGGAGGCTATTTTCTTTCAGGGCTTGAAATACTTCGCTCCAAGCTCTTCTCGACTTGATGGTGTGTGTTGAGAAGTCTGTTGTCATTTTGATAGGTTTTCCTTTATAAGTGATCTGTTTCTTTTCTCTGACCACTTTTAATATTCTGTTCTTGTGATGAATTTCTGGGATCTTGATTATTATATGTCTGGTTGTAGAACTTTGCTTGTAGCTGGGTGGAGTTCTGTATGCCTCATATATCTGAATATCATTTCCTTTTCCTATGCTTGGGAAGTTTTTCCTTAATTATTTCTGTGAATAGCCTTTGTATTTCATTTGTGTTTACCCCTGCTTCGTCACTCACATTTTTTATTCTTAAATTATAGATCCTCTTGTCGTCTTCTAGCCTTTGTATTGTTAGCTCCTGGTTCCTTATTAGTTTTAAAAGATCTTTCCTTGCAAATCTATCTTCAAGTTTTGAAAATCTAACTTTAGTTTCTGTCAAGTAATTTTGCCAGCTTTCAATGGAGTTTTAAATTTCCTGGTATCTCTTTGAATCTGTTTCATGTATTCCAGATTTTGTTTATATTCTTCATCAAAGGTTTCTCTCCCTTTTCTAGGTTCCTCCATTCTTCCATCTGTGTCTTCTTGAGAGGTACTTAGCATTTCTTTTATTAATCTTCTTACATCTTGCTTCACTTGAATTAGAATTTCAGTTTTAAGTTCATCTATGATGTCATGGAGATATTTCTTTATGTTGGCTGATGATGCCATGTCTGATACTGCATATTTGCTGCCCTTGATCTCTTCTGTATTTACTTCTCCTGGACTTATAATCCCTGGGTTGGTGGCTGGAGGCTTTTTCTTGTTTCTTTCTCTGTCATGTTTCTGGTTTCTTTCACACAGGTATATGGTGGCGGTCTCAGGCCCTTTCTGTATTGCTTGTGGTTTTTCTGAAGCATGCTGGCTAGGGGATTGCTGCTGTCTCCAGTTTGCTGTTGATCAGTGAGGTGTACACAGGGATGGTGTGGGCTAGCCCCTGTCCTCTGCGCCAGTCAACCAGCGAGTGCCTTCACCACATTAATCTGTGTCATGTGGACGTCATCGGTTCGGGACAATTTTGTCCCTGGCTATTGGGTCCTGACCATGGGTGTGACCCAGCTCAAGCTGATCCCACCAGTCCGCTTTGGGCCAGGAATGGCCTACTGATGCCATTGTGGTTCCAGGTTCAGGTCTTTCCTGCCCAACTCCAATATGTCATCCAGCCGGTCACCTCCTCCCACAGGACCAAATTCCAAGCACTCACCCCAGGTCAATGCAGCTTTCCATGCCAGTTCCAATCTCTGCTGTGGTGCATCTTCCTGCCAAAAGGCCTTGGGCTCACCAACCTCTGATTTCAGCATGATGTGACTTCAACACAACTGTGAGTTATCTCACTCCAAGGCACCCAGCACAGCACTGGACCAGCTTCGGTGAGAGCATGTCTGGCTCCAGCTTTCCATCCACATTTTTCTTTCTCTCTCTCTTTCTTTCTTTCTTTCTTTCTTTCTTTCTTTCTTTCTTTCTTCCTTCCTTCCTTCCTTCCTTCCTTCTCTTCTTTTCTTTTTCTTTTTCCTCAGTTTTTTCCTGGATCATGAGAATCCCTCTCCTTTTGTCTGGTCTTCTCCATGGTGCTAAATTCTAGCATCTGAGTTGTTTCTCCTAGAGAGGCTCTCTACCCTGCTACCTATCAATCCCGAATATTCTTTAATATACTTATTGACCATTTGTACTTCTTTTGAGAAGCATCATTTCAGTTCATTTCCTCATTCATTGATTGGGCTATTTGATTTTTTGGTGTTAGGTGTTTGGGGCTCTTTATATATCTAGATATTAGTCCTCTGTCAGAAGAGTAGCTGACAAAGCTTTTCTCCCAGTCTGCAGGTTGTCTCCTCACTATTGTCTCCTTTACTGCACCAAAACTTTAATGTGATGCGGCCCCATTTGTAGATTCTTGCTATTATTTCCTGGCTATTGATATCCTATTCAGGAAGTCTTTTCCTGTGCCTGTGACTTCAAGTGTTTCTGTTGTTTTCTCTTAGAAGTTCCAAAGTTTCAGATCTTCTACCTGACTCTTCTGTCATTGCAACTCTCTTCCTAAGCCCTTCCAGTGAATTATTATTTCAGGTGGTTTGTTTTTAAGTTTTACATTTCCATTTCATTCTCTCTTATACTTCCTATTTCTGTGCTGAGATTTCATGTCTTCTTCTTCATTGTGAGCATGTTTTCTTTTACATCATCAAGCATGGTTATTGTGATGGTTAATTTTATAAGTCAATTTGACTGGGCAAGAAATACTCAAGACATTGTTTCTGAGTGTGTCTGTGATGTTGTTTCCAGAAAAGATTTAGCAATTAAATCATGAGACTGAGTAAAGAAAACCATGTTCATCAATGTATGTGGGCATCTTCAATCATTGAAGGCCCAATAGAACAAAAAACAGGAGGAAGACTTTAGCCCTTCTCCTTGAGTTAGTCAATTCAGCTTCTCCTGTCCTCAGACATCAGTGCTTCTGGTTGCTGGGGCTTTGGGCTGAATTAAACCACCAGCCTTCCTGGTTGTCCCATGTACAGGTAGCAGATCATGAGACTTCTTGGCCACTATAACTGTGTAAGTCAATTTCTATAATCGAAGTCAACCCCTCACGTTCTCTCCCTCTTCCTCTATCTATACCTGTCTCCTATTGTTTGTTTCTCTGGAGAACTTGGACAATACAATTATAATAGTTGTTTAAAAATTCTTATCAGCTATTTTAACAGCTGTGGCATGTCAGAACCTGTTTCCCTTTTTAAAAAGAAAAATTTTGTATTGCAAGTGTTTTGCTGTGGAGACTATACTCTGTTGTATTTCTCAAAACAGCGCCAAATTTTGGATTTTAACAGGCAATTTGCTGAACTCAGACTGCTAATTCTGTAGCTTGGAAGCCTTGACAAAATGCAGCAGTGGCTCAAATCTCAGTTCAGATCTTAGCTGCTTTAAGTCTGCCCTTGATATATGGTCTAGTGGTGAGAAAGGAATCTATGCATAGTTTATACATAAATTCTGAGCTTCTTTTCTCTGGATTTCTTTCATGGATTTCCCCCTTACCTTGCAGGGGCTATGGCTGCTTCAAATAGCTTTCTCTAAGCTGGAAAGAGTCAAAGTTTTCATCAGCCTGCACGATTTTACTCATTCATGTCTGAAGATGGGGAAGAGGGTGCCCCAGCTCAGACAGACAGAGTAATGCTTAACTGTGCAGCACTGCTTGTGAGAGTCCTTTGGGGCCAAGGAGTTTCCCTAATGCAAAGTCTTGCACGTACTGTTTGAAGAATTCTCAAAATTTCTTTGTGTCTTTTCTTTTGATTCTTTTTTGAGAGTCCCAAATGTCCCAGCAGTGCTAAAGGGACAATTACCTGGTGAAATCAAAATTTTAGCAGGGCCTTATGACTATCTCAGAGATAAAAATCTCAAAGGACTTCAGAAGTGATCTCTTTCACTTTAAAAATGAGAAAACTGAGCCTCATAGAAACGAAATGATTCAAGTTCAAGTTGCTCAGCCTTTCAGTGGCTGAGTTACTCCAGAGATCAATTTCTCAACTTCCCATCCAATGTTGCTTCTGCTATATATAGTCCCCCCTCTGCTGCCCACAGCTACCACTGGCATCGTGTGGCATGGAGGAGGACATCCATCCTTGGGGTAGTGGTTCTGAATCTTTTGTTTTTTTTTAATTTCATAGCATTTGTGGAACACGATACATACCCACAAAGACTCAAGTAAGCCCCATTATCACCATCCCATCAATGAACTGATACTACTGGGTTCCAGATATGATAGGGACTGTAGGGCCCTTACTATCTCCCCACGCAGGGCACCCACCCCACCACGCCGCCCACTGTACTCACCGTAGATGCGAAAGGCATACTCAATCTTCAGGCTGGGACAGGCCTGCTCGCTGAACACAGATGCCATGCTCAACACATCTTCAAAGGAGAACACATTGTCGTGTGAGAACACTCTGCAGATGCGGTCTCGGAAAGGGTTGACCTGTGGGTAGGGAGAGGGAGAAGGAGGAGGTCTATCAGAGTCAAACCCCTCAGTCTCTCCCATCTGTCACAAGCACCATGATCTGGATTTGAGGGAAAACAGCCATAACCTGAATAGTGGAGTAGATGCTGGTTGAGGGCCAAGACCTTGAGCACAACCTGGGTACTAGGAATGAGGGACACTGCTTGACATAACCCGCCACCACCACTATCAGCTTCTTCACACACATTCCAGAGGTTTTGTTTCCTGGCTATGTTATTCTTTTTATGGTTATTAATTTTTGTGCATTTTATGTAGAAGATTTGGGGAAAAACTGTAAAGAATAAGACAAAAATCATCTGTAGTTGACTCACTAGAGTTAGCTACTGTCAACAGATTGGAGTAGAAGTGAGATGGACTTGGGTTTTAGTTCTGGTTTCACTGTTTGCTACTGAGTCTCCCAGAGTCTAAGCTTTCTCATCTATGACATAGAGTGGGATAACAATTATAGCTGCCTAATAGAAGTGGTATGAGAATTAAGCAGGATAGGCCTAAAGTTGCACTGTGACCACTATTAATAGTTACCTAGCTACCACTGATATTATAATCCACATAGCCACCTTCACTCTTAAACCAAACTATTGCTCAAAATAGGCCACCAAATGTGTAAGAGGACCCTTCTATGCTACCATTCCTCATCCTGGGCACGTGACATTTCAGCTGCCTCTCTGCCACATTAAATGCAGCTTGCTAAGATTGCTTTCTGTACTCCTTCTCAGGCCCCAGAAATGGACAGGTGGAGCAGGTAGATTCCACAGGGTTTGCCATAATTTGCATCTTAAATAGCTCCCCAAGGACCATATCCTAAAGACTTTGTCCTTGATTTAGCACTATTAGGAGGAGGTGGGACCTTTCAGAATTGAAAGAGTCTCTTCTCTGTGCTCCTCCCCTTCTGGGTCTTGTTGCTTTTGCTGCCTCTCACACCGTGAAATATTTTTCCTCTGCCACACCTCCCTGCTTTGGAGTCAGCTGAATATGGACTGATACCTCTACAAACTGTCAGCTAAACAAACCTTTCCTTCCTTAACTTTGGGTGCCAGGTATTTTGTCTCAGCAACAAGAAAAAAATAACCAACACAGGATTTGGCTTCCCTCTTAGGCCTACTCTGCTCAATCCTTGTGTCTTTTGTGAGATGATCCACATTCTTGGCTTTTCCAAACTTCTGGGTTCCCCACTATACTTTTGGCTTTTCTTTCTCTTTCCTTTTATTTCTTACACCTATGTTGTAGTCAGGGGTTGTGGAGAGAAGAATTAGAGTCAGGACACAGAATTGATACTATTATTTTTGATGGTCACCCACAGTTAACAGAAGAAAGTGCAAGAAATCTATCCGCAACACCAAAGACATAGAATGTTGAGCCACAGCAATGTCCCACATGAGTCCAGATGAAAACCTAGAGCCCATGGCAATGCCTCCCATGAGTCCAACTGGAGGTCCAGAGCCCACAAGAAGGACTCATGCCAGTCTGTTTCATGGATCCGTGCTGGGAAGGCCCAAAGGTCAGCAGTGGAAGCCAGAAAGTCTATCAGCGGGGTGAAGGAGCTGTGCTGGTAGGTTGAGAGTTCTATGCTGGAGCCGAGAAGTCACACTCACAACAAAGACCTTGCACAAACACAACAGACCAGTGATCACATATTCAAAGATCCAACCTTTCAAACAACAGGCCCTTTAACTTTATCATTCCTTTTAACCCTTTAAAAATCCTTTTTCTGTAAGAGAGGGTTGCTTTTGGCACTTTGGAGCCAAATAGCCAAAGTCCAATATTGAAAGAGGAAAGGTTTATTTAGCTCACAGTTTGTAGAGGTTTCAGTTCGTGGTTGGCAGGCTCTAAGGCAGGGTGGCACGCGTAAGGCACTGTAGAGTTAATGTCTAAGGCATTGCAGAGGGAAAACGGTCCACGGTAGGCAGAAGGCAATGAATCAGCAAAATAGTGCAGAAGCAGCAAGCCACAAGCAGTGGTAACAGGAGCCCCCTTTTTGCTCCTCATATTGTGTCTGGTCTCTCTGCCTGAAGGTTGGTAGCAATTTCATCCAGGGTGAAGTTTTGCTCTGCTGGTTCCAAAGTCCACCCCACCTGCTGGCAAATCTTATCAAATTTCAACTCTGCTCTTCCGATGAATGACCCCATACCTCCCTCAACCCAACCCAAATCCTCTTTCTTTGCAGACACTTCAACTAAAGTCATTTGACCCTGTAAATTCACACAACAAATATGAATGACCATTAGTTTTTTTAATTGTCCAAATTTGTAACTTACTGAAGCAACTCTTTGGTTGATTTTTGTAGGCATTAACAAAGCATTTTTTTTTTTTTTAAAGCTCAGGGTCTGTGCAAAAGGTTTATCCCAGCTCCACGGCTTTCCACATGCAATGAGCTGTCATCTTTTTCCTGGACGCTTGGGCAGCTGGCCCCAGCCTGTCCCTGTTGTTCTGTGCTCCTGTCTAATCCTCCTTTGTGCTGCTCAAGTGTAAGCCAATGCTCAGCCTCCTGGCTTTGATTTCTCAGTTTTCAGCATGTGACGGTTTTTGTTTCGTTGCTTTAGAAGTCAGCTACATATTCTAATGTGTAGTTTTCTTTTATTCTCCATTTCTACATATTTGAAGTGAGAGGGGACATTCTGTGTTACCTCAGGTGGCTCTGTGGTTCTCAAGTCTTTGCGAGCACCTGAGTCACCTGGAATTCTTAATAAAATCATGAATTTGTGTTCAGCAGGTATAAAGTTACATCTCGTGTACTGGATATTTTAAGAGGGTAGATAAACCTTGTGAAAAATGTTATAATAATTTTTTAACCACAAATAAAGAATGTGTTCAAATACATTCTGTAAATACACAATTCCAAGCTCCTACCTTCTGAGATTCTGCTACTTTGTGAGAAGGTCTGGAGTGCAGTCCAGTATTGCAGGCTGCACTGTACCCCCTTACAAAATCTGTATGTAGCGCTAACCCACAGTACCCCAGAATGTGGCCTTATTTGGAGACAGAATTGTTACAGGTGTCACTCATTACATTGAAGTGAGGGAGAAAGATGGGCCCCTAGTCTAATGGAAACGTGTCCTTGTAAAAAGGGGAAACTAAGGCACAGAGACACGTGTTCAAGGTGAAAACCATGTGAAGATAAAGGTGTACACCAGAATGATGCTTCTACAAGTCAAAGACTGTCAGAAAACCACTGGGAGCCAGGGAGAGGCCTGGGATAGATCCCTCTCACAGCCCTCAGAGAAGCCAACCCTCTCCACACCTCCATCTTGGACTTCTAGGCTCCGGAACCGTGGGACCATAAGGTTCTGTTGTTTCAGCTACATAGTGTGTGGTACTTTTGTAACAGGAATAGCAAAATGGAACTTGAAAAATTAGAATATTGTCCCGTCAGAGACAAGTGACTTTATCAACCTTTCTCTGGCCTAGAGCATACATGCTACTCTTTCCTTTCCTCAGCCCCAGAGCATGAACAGAATCTGTAGCTACTGGCACTAGAAGGGACTTCTCCAAATTCCTCATGCTGAGGGCATAACTACCCCCACCCTCAGCCTAGATAAACAGAACCTGCAGTGCTGGTGCTGTCCCGGGAGGTCAGAGTCAGGAGAGATAAAGCCCACCTGGAGATGTGCATTGGCTCTTTCCTGCACTAGGTCAGACTTTGCACACTTGAGCCCAGAGACAGTGATTTAAGGCAAACGAGGTTCCTCCTTCTCAGAGTTAGCTTTCAGCAAAGCCATTGCTCTTTCCAATAAAAATAAATGGCCTCCTTTGGTTTGGTCAGTGGCATGTAAACAATATTTTGATGTGAGTGAATATTTTGATGTGAGTGGCCGGTAACATTTCATTATAGCAACCTTACTAAACAAACACCTATAAATCCTCTTCTTAAGAAAGATTCTCACATGATGGGCTTCTATTATGTAATTATATAAAATTATAATTATACATTTATTATATATATATCTTTCAGGAGTGGCCAGGGTCCACAGGGAATCCAAGTTGATCTGCTAGGCATGGCCAGCCCGTAGCCCATGCTTGTTGTATTACTCATTTTAATGATATAGTAAAATTATTTTTTAAAGGGAGCTGGGTATGGTGCTACATAGCTATTATTCCCAGCACTCAGGAGGCTGAGGCAGAAAGATCATGAGTTCAAGGCTAGCCTGAGCTACATAATGAGTTGAAGTCCAGCCTGGACACACAGTGAGACCCTGTCTCAAAAAAATTAAAATTTAAAAAGGAAATTTTTTGCCTGTTATATTAATTATATTATATATTTCATATGTGTCCTAAGGCAGTTTCTCTTCACTTAGTGCAGCCCTGAAAAGTCAGAAAGTCTCATATTAGAGGGTCCAAACAAGCTCCTCTGTTCTTTCACCTCTGTGTTCCCAGAAAGGCCTCCTTCAACCACTGGACTCACGCTGATAAGCCTTATCTACTGTGATGGCTGCAACTCGCATGTTCCTAGCTAAGTGGGTTACATGGCCAAACTTTAACTACTTTAACTCTCCTCCTAAATGGATATGTGACTCAACAAGGTTTTTTCAAGAAAACCTCAACTGAAGATGAAGCTTGTGATGTAAACACAAGCAAATAACAAAAGTCAGTGCTAATACCTCTACTACTCAAAATAAGAGTTCCTCCCTAGGAAACAGAAAGCACGAGAATCTAGGAGACACAACAAGATCATCCTGTGTCAGTTCTGTGTGCCTGTGCTCAAACAGGTGTGAACCAGGTCAGCGAGCTCACTGCATGGCACCTTTCCAGCCAGGGGACAAGATGGCAGCCTTCCTTTCCCGGGAGCCTTTGGCCATTGCTTGGATTTGCTGGTGGTGATGGTGGCAGGTGGTTGCCAAGAGGCTAGTTCAGTCCTTTTTCAAATGTCACATGACTCTTGTTTTGTTCTGTTTCTGGTGCTAGGAATTGAACTCAGGACCTTGCGCTTGCCAGGCAGGCACTTGTGCCACTGAGCTATATCCTTGGCCCTGCCACAAGACTCTTATCTAACACACACACACACACACACACACACACACACACACACCACTGTGATGGTCTGTGTCTAGCTGTCTCCCTAAAGCCTCATGCAGTCATGGGGATGGACTCCTAGAGTTTGTGACCAATTTGTGGTCCAATGCTAGGATTATGGGTGTGAGTGCTACACTCACCTTGGGGCAAGTAAACAGGGAAAGAAGCTTGCTCTCTCTCTCTCTCCTTCCCTTTTCACTCTTGTTGCTTTTGCTGTCATGTGCCACCATGAACTGTCACCCCTGTGCCATGCCGCTCTGCCTTGGAGCCAGCCGAGCATGCTAAACCTTGCCCTCTTTAGTGTTGAGTGTTGCGAATTTTGTCTCTGCAATGAGAGAAAAGTAACCAACAGCCACACACACACACACACACACACACACACACACCACATACACAAACCCATCTTGTAGAGACTGAAGTCCAGGCCGTTGGTAACAACATGGCGCACCCATTGGAAGATGCAGTGAAAATATTGCTGGAAATGTGGAGAAATAAGCCCAGAAAAGATTCCACACTGCAATAGATTTGTTAAACAGTGAAGGAGTATCAGTGCTCCTGACAGGGTGATTTTTTTTTTTTTTTTGGCTTATGCTTCAATAATGAAACACATGAAGGAACACATTCCCATGAGCCACCAAAGAACAAGATGATGGGGTGCAATTTTTTAAAACAGTAAATTACTCCTTTAAGAAGAACACCACTTCTGGGGAAGGTTGAGTGTAATCATCCAATGGGAGGCCGCTCTGTGATGAAAGGAGATGATGACACATGGAAAACTAATTCCCCACGGGGTTTTTTGAAGTAGCCTGAAAATCCAGAGGCACAGAAAATGCAACAGAATGCACTGATATTGTTAGCTTTCAGAAAGAGTTTAACAGATAGTAAAACATGTACGTGATTTGTAATCAGGAAAGACTATGACAATTGTTTGAGCCACAGGGGAGTTTTCTGCTTATTGTGTGGCAGAGTTCTTAAAGGAGCCATCAGATTTAGAGATGAATTATACATTGTTTTGCACAAAAAGACAAGCGTCCTAATTTGCTGACCTTTCGGTGATGACAAGTAGCTGCTGAAAACATGTCACATGTTACTTTGCTGAGTACATTTCTGCTTAATATTTTGTATTATTTGCATTACACATACATTTTTGTTGTTCACCACAGAAATGAACTCAGTTTGGCTCTCCGAGGTAAAGCAGGTGATTCATTTTAACATCATGGCTTTTTCAAAGAGATTCACGTTTTGGAGAGAGCATTTTGTAAATGTTATTTTGGTTGTTAAAAACAGGCGATGTCAACCATAAAAAATGCATCTGCATAACCAAACAAGTTAGAAATAGATTTTTCTAACCTGTTTGAAATTTGTCCAAATGAAGAGTGTCAGCGGATTCTGAGTCTCTTTGTTGCAAATACATAAATGTGATGCTTTGCAATTAGCTTGTAAAAGCTACTGACTGACATAAAGGAAGGCAGACAATTCCTAGCTTAATTTCAATAAAAAGCCTTAATTGGTGAATGGGGATGAGAATGAATTCCATGATATAATACATGCAGCCCACGATACATCCCTTCCCTTTGGATCAGTTTTGACAACTATTAAAAATAAACTAAACTAACTGTATCCCATAAATATGTACATTATGTGTCAATTAAAAAACTAAACTAGACTCAGACCTCTAAATAGGTCTTTTTCAAAGCACACTGAAGCAACACTTCAAAGAATAACAAAGCACACTGTTTTCTCTTGCACTATTTTTGTTAATCACACGCAAATGCCGTAATAAAATAGTACAAGAACTTTTGCTATATATAACAAAAAGAAATATATTTTTAAATTATGCAATTTTAGCTTTTCCTTTATATTTCTTATTTTGCATATTTATATAGCGATAGTGCAGAAGATTTACATAACTTATAATGGACTATGCATGTATTACAGATGTGCCACTTTTTTATGGTTAGGGATGTACTATCAAAAATGTCTGAGATCTCTGATCTGAACTCACCCACTCAACTCAGAGATGGAAATGAGGCCTCAGGGAAGAGAGAGATTTACCCAAGGTCACTCAGCAAACAAGTGAGCAAGCCAGCCGAGGTCCCAGACCTCCTGAGCCTGCCCTGGCCCATTTCCGCTGCAGTGCCTCATGCCAAGTAAACATCAAAACAGAAAGATGCCAGGAGGCTGGAAATGTGGCTATTAAAATGCAGAGAACCTTAGAAGTGATCTCTATAAAAATTCTTTAATGAAATTTGTTTTCTACACAGTATAAAACTAGAGTCTGGACTGTAGGGAGAGAGTGGCCCATGAGACCTTGGTGGCCAGCAGCAGCAACTGTCACTTGAAAGAGAGTAACACTGAAGGAGGCCACGGGAGGACTGACTGCAGCAGGAGAAGCCAGAAGGGAAAGGGGACAGGACGGGGAGCCGGGTGGCTGGGGAGGAAGGGAGGAACCAAGGCGCAGAGCCGGAGACACTGCTCCAGCAGGGCAGCTGTTAGAGCCCCAAAGCTGCATCAGGGTCCTGGGGCCGGCACAGCCAGTGTAGCTCTCTGGTGGCCTTGTCGGCACCTGCCAGGACAGTGTCGTAGGCCTGGCTCTGGTCCAATAAGAGGCAGCTCCCTTCTGTCCCAGATTCTCTTCCTTGTCATTTGCCAGAGAGAAATCCTCAAGTTCCCTGTGACTATGTGTCCTTTAGCACATATGCAGGTCCAGGCGAAGGGGCCCCACAGGACAGCACTGAGATTTCTAGGGTCCTGGGGATGCATCCTTTCTGCTCTCTACTCCAAGCTAAAATGACAGCTCGGCCTGGGGTCCCAGGTAGAACAGCCAGGAAGGGACAGCAGATGGAGCAGGACACATGGTCTGTCACAGGTCTTTTACTGTAGTGCAGATTTTTGATGCTACGATGTTAACAATCTGAAATCTGAACCAATGCATTTTGGGACCTACCCAGAAACTTACAGTCTGCACTAAATGTCACACTCACTCAGAAGTCTTCAGGCTTCTAGAGGAGAAAGAAGTGATAACTAACAAAGAATACTCCCATCTCAAGAGTAACTTGAACCCTGGCCTGAAGGCATTCTGAACAAAAGGAATATAAACATGTCCGCAGAAGAATTTATACAGGTAACTCGGTAGTACAATCTCCATGTATGTGTGATGAAGCCACAGAAAATGGAGATAACCCCAAATGCTGGGAGTTTTTTTGGAAACAGAAACTACAGTTTGTTGACAATGAAAAGACTGCAGTCCCTGCCAAAAAAACCAACCGATTTTTAAAAAGAGCTTCTCAAAGTTATTGAACAAGAGATTTGATTTGAAGATGAAAGTCAAAAAGAAAATATTTGGACATAGCTTAAAAATATCTCCTCAACATTTCTCCAACTAGCGCTTAGTCAAAAAGAGCTTTTTACAGTCGCTGGAAAAAATTCACACAAAAATACACCAGTGAGTCAATAGTGACATCACTGATGCACTTTGATTTTTAAGATCTTGTATTTTTTAAAAAATAGATGAAATAATATTCCAGTTAATGTTTCTCATTGCTATTCAAATGTCCATAATTTCTAGTAATTTATTTTGAAATACTTTCTTCTCATTTATTGTATCTGCTGCCAACTGTTAATAAACTATGATTAATGTTTGCATATTATTTTAAACATTGTAAAGCACCTGTCACAGAGTGGGCAAGGAAGCTGTTGGGAGGGGTCCATAGTGGCCAGCACTCCTCATCCTTGAGCAGAGGCCTCAGTTTACCTGGAGCAGACTCTCACTGAGAGAACCAGTCCTTGTGAGGCTCCTCATGGTTGTGCACATAGGGATGATGAGTAGATTCTGTGCCCTGGAAGAAGGACGTAAGAAAACTTTTTGTGCTTTTGGTGTCATTAAAAACTTCCCTGTAACATGGTTAATCTTGATTGTCAGTTGGCTTGGCTTGAGAGACACCTAGGACATGAATACAGCACATTTCAGGTGTGTCTAGGCGGGTCACAGGCATGAGGCAGAGGCCTGTGTCTGGTGCCTGGCCCTTCCCACCCCGGCTCTTCTGTGCTCTCTACTTCTGGCTACCACAAGGTTGGCAGCTTTCTTCTAGGCTGGTCTTCTGCCATGTTGTTTCTGCCCTGGAGCCAGGCAGCCATGGACTGACCCCTCTAAAACTGTGAACTAAGGTAAACCTCTCCTGCTTTAAATTGTTAGATATCTTGTCTCAGTAACAGAAAGCTGACTAATACGCCTGAGATATATTATCTTGATGGATTGGAAGGCTCAGTAAGCCAAAGAGATCCATAGAATTATTGTAATTCTAGTTAAAGTCTTCCAGCTGTTGATTTTATAGCAGCTGAAATTGAAAAGCTGATCCCAAACTTTGTGCAGAAAAGCAAACGGTTGTGAATAGTCCAGGCGATCCTGAGGAGGAAGAACCATTCTGAAGGACTTACACGATTTTGAGATCCATGCTAGAGCTTTGGTAATTGGTGCAATGGTAGGTTAAAAAACTCAGAGCCATATTATGGATTCTCGAAACAAGTCTGCCCGTATAGGGCCATCTGATTCATGATAAAAGACCCCTGTGCCACACAGTGAAGGGAAGGAGGGTCTTCTCATACCTACATGGTGAGACAAAGGAATCCTGATCTCTTACATGACACCCTACCACTTCCAGACTGGTCATAGGTCTAATGTGTAGGATTAACAGCAAAACTTCAGGAAAAATACCGTACGGGATTCCTCTTCATAACCTCTGAGCAAAGATTGTTTAACAACATATAACAAAAGCACTAGCCACAGGGGCCATTTCATAAAATTTTGTCCTATTAAAATGGAAACATTGTATTGTTCAAAAGACATCATTAAAAGAATAAAAAGCCATCCCACAACAATCACGATGTATTTCAACAGGTGGTGGATAAATTGTGCTACACCCCAACAAAAGAATACCACTCGGCCACTGCAATGCATGTAACAACATGGAGCATCCTTTTTCTGGATAAAAAAACTCAGACCAAACAGCCACATGTTGTGTGAGCCTGTTCTGCAAAATGTAAAAGTGCGGGGCAGGAGAACAGATCTGTGGAAGCCAGTGGTTGCAGCGGGGAGGAAGCAGCTGACCACAGCGGGCCCCACAGGGAAATAGGGAGATGGAAACACTCTGTATGGCTCTGGTAGTGGACCTACCCATCTCGTAAGATCTGAAGATCCATAAGCCACAAAGAGCAAACTTACTGGACTCAAGTTAAAAATAACAACAGCAACAAGATGCTAGTGAGCCTGGCATGCAAGGCAGACCTGTGACAAAGATGTCACTGAATTACGAGCCTACGGTCAAACCTCACAGAAGAGACTCCTGAAGAGAGGCACTAACTGCAAAACTTCAGAAAATAGTACTCCAGTGGGGTAACTGGAAAGACAAAAGGAACAACAAATACACCCCATCTCCAGGGGAGAGACTTGCTTCTCACAGGGTACGGGTTAGCAATTCTGAAACTATGCATATGCTAGTGCTGAACAAATAGGTAAATAACTGTCATGGTTTATGTCTGTGGCCCCCAGGCCTTATGAGTTTGCATTGTGTATTTGTGATTGGTTCATTGTCTAGTGCTTGGATTGATGGTGTTAGTGCTCCACCCACAAAGGGGTGGAGCCAGGATGTGATGTAATGGCAGGAAGAAGGTGTGTCTTGCTCTTTGCTGGTTCCAGCTTGCTGTTTGCAGCTGCCATGAAAGGCGGCCCAGCCATGCCTGCCTGCCTGGGAGCCAACTAAATGTGGACTGAAAACTCCAAAAACTGTAAGAAATAAACCTTTCCTTTCCCAACTTTGGGCTTCAGGTATTTTGTCTCAGCAACGAGTAAAAAATAACTAAGACAATAACAGAAATAAATTACAACTAAGGTAAGTTGCAAAGAAGCCAGGGGAAGGGTAAATGTGGTGCTAGGTTAGTCATCAATGACAGTATGATTGCATGGATATTTTACTAGACACAAGTATGGATAGATACACAAACTAAACACTGATTGCTTTGTATTGGTTGGTATACGTGCCTATATTTTCCAGCTCTGTCCATTATGTCACTCTACTGTAGGACATCCAGAAACATCACCTGAACCAAGTGACACAGCTCACATCTCCTTGTTGAGTCACGACAGGTCATGGTGGGACCATGATCCTCTGATACTAAGGGAGGAGAGGGCTTTTTGCCCTGGTGATATTCTTTGCACAAATTCATAGCTCCAGTCTAACTACATGACAGACCTAAAGTTGGGGACAGTCTACAAAAGTATTTGACCAGTGTTTTCCAAAAAAATCGTGGAAGACAAAACAGTCACAGATTAGAGCAGACTAAAGTCATCGGTTAGATATGATGACTAAACGCAGTGTGAGACTTTTGAAGAGCTAAGTACATCAGTGGGAAAATTCTGGAAATATGAACAGTTTGTAGTTGGATTAATGGCGTTTCACCAATTTTCTTAGTTTTGATAAATGAATCATGGCTCTGGAAGATATTGACATCAGGGAGAACAGAGTGAAGGTTAAACAGAACTTGTCTTAGTAAATCTTAAAAGTAAGCACTGAAAGGATCAAGTGACTTCAGTAATGAAACTACATGCAAGGACAAAACTCAATGACATTTAATAAACACAACATAATTAAAAACCCAATGATAGAAAATTTAATGCAATGTGTAAATGTGGGGGGTTTTTTTAGAGATGAAGAATTGCCAGTCATGCAATAAAGGAGGAACAAAGGACCCTTAATCAGTAGAAAAATCAACTGACGAAAACAAATCCAAAAATGGCACAAATGACAAAGCTGCCACAAATATTAAAATAACTATGATAACTCTACCACCCGTGATCAAGAAGGCAGAGACAGCTGTGCACAGAGATGCTGGCTTTTTGTCCCAGCTACTTGGACAGGAGGATCACCTGAGCTCACAAAGCCTGGGCCACATGGCAGGATCTTTTCTCAAAATGAAAGAAGCAGAGAAAATACATGTAAACTATAACCTTGAGCATTCAAGAAGCTCCACAGCATCTGGGCAGAAGGAGCTTGATGCCCAGCCACAGCATAATCTAATTCTAAAATAACATCAATAAGAAAAACTTCTTGCAGTGGGTTGAGAGGAAAACTTGTATCTAGACAATAACAAAGACAAAAATTACCCTAGATTCTTTCTCAGAAGCTAATCAAAAAGATACCCATGGAATAATGTCTTTAACTCTTGGAAGGAAGGCAGGAAGGAAGGAAGGAAAGGAGAAAGAAGAAAAAAAGAAAGAAAGAAAGAAAGAAAGAAAGAAAGAAAGAAAAGACAAGGCTTTGATTCTCATTCTATACCCAGCAAAAATATCTTTTAGACATAAAATCAGAGACTTTTTCTCCCAGACAAAGAAAAGCTAATTGAATTCATCAGCAGTATACCAGAGCTCAAAATAAACAAAACAAAACAAGGCCTTCCAGCAGAAGAACATTGCTCAAAGGAAACTCGGATCCATACAAGGGAATAAAAAATGCTAGAAATGATAAATAGCTAGATAAATCAAAAAGATCTTTCTCCTCACTTTGAATCCTTTTTAAAAAGCCAATCCACAGTTATCATTGGTGATTCCAACATTTCTCTGGATATAACTGATATAACAAAGAGACCCCCCCCCAAGTCACTAACAGTATAAAATTGCCATCAACCAACTGGATCTAATTAACGTTTTATAGAAAGATCCATCTAACAGAGCCAGATACACGTCTTTTTCAAGTACACTTGGAGCACAAACCAAAGTAGACCAGATTCAGGGTTATAAAGTAAGTCTCAATGAATTTAAGAGGATTTAAATCATACAAAATATGTGCCTTGACTGTAACAAAGCGACATTAGACTCCGTAATGCAAAAAGATCTTGAAAATCCTCAAAGTTACAGAAATCATGACAGATTAGAAAGTGTCTGAACTTAAATGAAAACACAACCTATCAAAATCTGCACTGTGCAGTAAACCAAGGCATACAGGGAATCAGCAGCACTAAGCACTTATATTAGAGGTATTAGATAGTTAATTAAATGAAAAATAAAAGGTCCTTCACCCACTGGTAAGAGTGAGGACATAGGTCTATCAGCTGGCCGATGGTAGAATCCGTTCCAACCCTGGGCCCTGGCCTACCTGCACCCTGGGAAGTGGCCGTCACTGAGGAAACGGAAGAGCTTGTTATCAGAAGCAGTGGCTTGGAAGCCACAGGTGAACGGAGGCCAAGGTCACCTGAGGACAGATGCATGAGATGCCCTGCAGGGAGGCTCCGCCTCCTCCCCTTTGCCCATGAGGAAATCATAGCTCTGAATCTGAACCAGGAGCGGCCCCTCAGCATTAGAGTAGCTCTACCAGCAGGTGGCAGTGTTGGGTCAGAGCCATTCAGCCAGTTCACAAACCCAACGCAGTGAGCCTCTAATGCACACAAGGCATTTAGTTGGGCTGGGACTATCTTCCAAGCGGGTGGCAAGAGAGGCTCAGGACTCCCCAGTGACAGAAAGTGGCACAGTGACAGAGTTCATAATCTGAACATTAAGTCTTAAGATCAAATGGATGAGCGTTGTTACCATGTGCCAAACACTGAGCTAGGTCTGGGGCCCACAGAACAGTGGAGAGCCCACCTTTGTCCTCCACGAGGCTCAGCCTGAGCGCTTACAGAAATCTCTTCAGAAAAAGGCAGCAAGGGCGAAGAGTCTAAATCAAGTACTATAGTCTTCCTTACCCTCATAGGGTATGGTGTGAGCCCTCCCGCCATGGCTGCCTGAAACTTCAGATGGTCCTGAGCCCTGTGTTAAGCACTGTGGCAACTCAGCAGTCACTCTGCAAAC